ATCTAAATGTCTGGCAACTTTTAGTGCTGAAGTAGTTGCAGTGTTTATGGTTTCTTTCTACAACGGCATCATACATTTTCTGACAAGTACAGTATACGACTTTGTGTTACCGCAGCAATATTAATAGGCACTGAAATACCCGTCTAGATGGCAAAATAAAAAGCAAAACCAGGTTAAATGGGAAACAAAGGTTCATTTAGCGGTAGAAGGAATACAGTGAAAAATGTGCAGGATGTGGACATGTACCGGTACAGGGGGCCTCTGAGAAAAATGTGCTGGTCCTTAATACCTGTACAAGATATTTACTCCGTATGACGTGTGCACATCACCTCATTGGCTCAACAACCAAACACAGGCGAGAGACAAATAAACCATTAACCGAACTGCCTTCACGTGTACATCATGGCCTTTTTATAGATACATACACGTATGTATGCACATTGGGCATATTGCTACAACCCATCATAGCCAAAGTGTTGTAACTGCACGTGCAGATTGAGTTCCCCAGCAATTGCGATTTCGGCGGTGGAGCAAGAATCCAAACCAATTAAGCCCAGCACCACACGTTGGGGGTCCGGCTCTGCGTAACACTGCAGCGCACCAGCACCGAGATCAACGGCAACCCAAGAGGAGTGTTCAAAGAAAAAAAGAAAGAAGGGAGAAAAAAACGAGATAGACAGGCAACTGAGGAGTAAATTTGGCGTAGTTGTCACTGCTGTCGAGTCCCATCTGAATCGCAGACAGATGGCCGGTCACTGGACCATCAGAACCAATTATGGAGGCTGACAAACTGACAGGTGCCGGTAAATGTAATTCATTCCAAAGTCCTAGACAGACACAGCTGGACAGAAGTCATTCACAGGGATGATGCCTTCTGTATGTTATCGCTCTCACACATGGACGGGTCACTATTGGGGACCCTAGTCTCCCCCCACTCCAAAAAGGATTCTTCCTATTCTCAAGTGGGTCATCTTGAACTGAGCGCAAGGTTAACTTTTCATTTGGGGAACCTGAGAGTAAAAGTGAAATCAATAACATAAACACTCATTACAAACTAGGGTTAATTATATGCCGATTAACAATTCAAATCTTGTACCTACAGCGTGTAAATGTTTCGAGCCACATTTTAAAAAAGGAGTAAAACTGAAGCATGGAACTCAAAGAGGTCCATACCCCATTAAGAGATTATACTGCCTAGAGTACGTGTAAGACTGATTCGGGAAACAAGATCAAAATTGGCTCCCCATAAATAAGGTCTGTTCCATTACAAAAAAATGAGTCCAAGAGTTTACTTTAACTGGAAAAAAAGGAGTAGGCGGGGCTTCCAAGTGAGAGGGTAGATGCGGGAGGGGAAGGCTGAAATTGATTCTTCCTTGGAAAAAATTATTTTTGAGGACTTCCTCGGACTTCAGCAGCCATTTTGTACTTGTTAAAAGTAATATAATTGTTTCCAAACAATATTTGTATTTGATAACTTTCATTTCATTGTTTGTTTTGTTTGTTTATTTTTTGCTGTTTCTTTTTCTAAATGTATAATTATTGTTATTGTTTCTAAATATCTCAGTTGGTGGTTTGTCTTGTTTTGTCTGGTCTGGCACATGTGCCACAAGCTTTGGCCTTGAGGATGATTCCCGCACTGTGGAAATAAATGTATTGATTGAAGGTGTGGCACTTTTCTACACCTTTTTAAAAGGAGAAACGACAAAGCACTAGGTCTTGAATGTGTGGCACATTATACATGTACACTGTACATGTAAAGTGCAGTGCAGTACAGAGGTATTTTGAAAAATAAACTTCCAAGTCAAACAGCCACTAGTTTTGTTCTTCGGGGTTTAGAATTCTGGCTCAACTTTATTAAGAATAATACCACAATGTTATGAACATGATTGAAAAGTCAATACAAATTGGATAAATATGGTCAATACATTTAAAAGTGCAATTATTCAGACAAATTTGTATCCACCTGTTTGTGCTTGGCTTCTCTGAAGGCCGGTTCGTGCTACAGGCGAACGAAATGGCAAAGCAAATTTGACATCGCAAAAGAACTTGCAGCAAACTTTCACTCGAGTTGAAATGTGTTGAACATTTGTGAATTTGCAGCGCAAAACATTTGATCTTGCATCACAAATTCACATTTGTGTTCACTTTGCACACCAATATGAACCAGCCTTTGCTCACAAAAAAATTGGAAAAGGGAAAAATAAACTGCCCAACCACTGTGAACTACGGAGGTACAAGTACATGTACATGTACCCGGTACGTACGGGTGTACATGTATAAAGCAATGAGTGTGTCTAGCACTTAGAATGTGTACATGACTCTATGTACTCATAGCTATGGCACATTGTCAAAAGGAAAATGGTTGATGTTAGGATAGAAACTGATTTATACAATCATCGTTGACCGTGCAGTTGCAAACTTCATTACTCATCATTTTTAATACATGTACATGCACCTCTACCAGTTCTAACATTTCACTTGTCACCTTCAAAATACATGTATTTACGTGTGCATGTATAACACCGGTACCGCGAGCAAAAAATTGAACAAGCAAGCTGAGGTGGCCTAAGCTAGGAGGCTGTCCATACCGGGGCCCCAGCTCCGCAATTAATTGTGCACGGCCATTTTCAATTCCAGTTTCTCTTGTTTGTTTTTCATCTGCAGAGCGTCCACTACCCGTGCACTCAACCCAAATGGTACCACCAGTGTGAAGCAGTAGAAAACAACCTGTGCATATTTTCAATTCAATAATTTCATCAATGCCAACCTATAAATGGGGCCCTAAATTTAGTACCCAATTAAATTCGAGACGGATACCAGTGCAATGTTAACACGCTTTACACATACATGTAAGACACACCATGTTCAGATTGACATTTGCGTGAGGGGCGGTGAACTTTAATTGGGCACCAAATCTGGGGCAAGCTTGTGTGCGTGTTTAAAAAAGGGTGTCCGCTGACACATATTTTCCCCCGTAATTTACAGCATGCCACACAGAAGAGTTTCCAGTGTTGTGCAGCTTTTTCACGAAGTGAAGTCTCTCGGACCTAATTACATGTACAATGTACATGTAGCTTGATTTGGTATTCTTTTAATAATTCACAATGAAGACCTTGAAACTTCTGTAAAATGCGTCTCAGAAAATGAGAGATTGACATCATATATTGTCATTTCCTGCAATTGTGTTTTGATGTTGGGTCAGGTACATCAGTGTTTCAAATCGAATACAGTTTTGAGGATACAGTCATGACCCTTAATGCTGTAAAATTCCTGTTTCCTCCAAATTAATAGGCTGTCAGTATGTTGGGCGCGTTAGCTCAAATCTTGTTCATCTGACTGCATGATTTGTCAATAATTCTGCAGTCAGCCAATCAACTCTCCTTTCTACTTCACGGTTGTGGAAGATTGTTTCGAAAAATGGAAGTGAAGTCAGATATTTTATACAGGGTCAACTGATAGCGCGGTGCGATTGTGCTGATCAACCGATAATGCCCAATGTGTAAAATCGAACACAACATGTGTAGTATTCAACTGCTACTTTACAGCACGTCTGTCACCATAATGGTACATGAACCTCTTCTATCTTTGAAATTGGTCAGAACTTCTTTTTCTCCCCCAACATGTGCATGCAGATTTAGTTTGTGTATGTGTTTATAGAATATTTGCACAGAATACCAGGATGCTTTGTATATGCCTGTACTACCGGTACATACGGTACATGTAGGGGAATACCGGGCACCGGTATATGCAAACCATGCACAGACTACTCCGTGAAGATGCCATTACAACCGAGGCAGTACTCACACAAGCATTTTCGAACCTCATGCTTGCATATTTTGCAAAATCAGAGCATCCTATTGGTCTAAGAAGTACTGGTACACATCCACATCTAACACCTGCTGATGAGCGTGGTGCGACCGCACTGATGGCTTCTTATTCTTGTCTCCAAACTAGTCTTTCAGTAACATTTTACCCTGCTTTTATATGGCTTGCAAGTTTTGGAAGATTTTACAATTTGTCCAACATTTAATCGCTTTCTGATATCCACAAAGCTGCTAAGACTTCGACTTCCCCCTCAAAGAACAGATTGACCTGAGTTCAAACTTGATTTCAGATTCTGATCACCTGTACTCAAATCTTGAAATCAAACTTGGAGCACCTAGTGGACTTGAGACTGAAGGACCTATAGGCCATGTCTGAAGAACCTACAGGCCCTGTCTGAAGCACCAATAGGCCCTGACTGAAGGACTTGGCAACAGATGGAAATGACAAGGTCGCTTCTGGAAGCTGCAAGCTGTCGGCATCATCCATCACCCATATGTACTTGTTAGTTCTGGCAAGTGCATTTGGATATAGCCAAGTACCAGTAAAGAGGGATCATTGCCGGGGCGGTATGAACATAAAGAGCACACAGAGATATGGAGATTGCATCCCTGCTCTTCCAGTTGTAAATCACGAGCCTCAGCCAACAGAATGAGGTAAAATGCCTTGCCCTGGGACACAAACCACGGCCTGCAGCAGGATTCAAACCACCTGAACCACAACCCACAAACCACCATGGCCACAACCCACAGGAAACTGCTGGATTCGAACCTCTGACCCTCCAATTACAAATCAAGGGCCAAAGCACAGAGATCCCATCTTTAAACTTGGAAAAGTGTGAGGCAGCTCAACACGTCTACATATCGGTACACATAATTAATGTGACATTTCATGTGTCATCGCGACATGGGTATTTTGCCAAATATTTCCTATGCAATCATGCCGGTGCCAAATTGGATTACGACCTGATGAAACTGTACGAATGACAGAAGGAAAGAACAAATTAGTGAACAGATCCTCCTCTGCCTCACAACTAACAACTCTGGCCACGACTCTAGTCAGAATGTTTCCAACACGCACACTTGTGTCTTTAGGAATGCGAAACTTTGAACTTTCTGAAGTGTTCACATTCAAGTATATGAAATTATGAAATTACTCGTGTTCGTTTTTCAACTCACCTGAAAAGAGCTGGTTTGCTTCATCAGAAATCCCTCCTTGATGCATGCCTGTAGAATGAAAAACAAAGAAACCGAAAATAAAATGCGGTTATCGCTACATCCATGCACAGACAAGATCTTAATTAATAACCAACACTGACCTGTGCAGAGCAGTTACCATATAGCCTAGGAAGAGAAAATGCTTTTCTGTAAACCTGCATCAAAACATCCTCACTTAGTCTCATCTCATCTCAATTTTTGGAGTAAGAGCTTCTGCTCTGATGCAGGTTTTAAAGAGTCTTCCTGTTACACGTACCGCATGCATAATGACTCCATCTGATCCAGGATGTAAACAGGAATATTAAAGATGGCTCTTCAGAAACAAATATATGTACATGTATGTGGCTGAGTAACCATACCGGTACGAGGAAGGCAAATTTTGACATGCAACAACTCAAACTAAACAGAGACCAGATCTCGTATTGTACAGGTAATGTACACAGATCTCATGTTACGATACACAGGCAGACGACTCCCTAAAAGCTCATGACACTGCATGATATTCCAGCGGTTCCATGCCACCTCCACGCTGCTGCCATCCTTTTTGACTTGATAGCCTTGTCAAGGTCTCAATTTTCTTAAAAGTCACCAAACCACTCGTGCAGTGTATCACATCAAATTTTCTGGAAGTCTGCAACTGGTTAAATTACACCACCATCGGACTGTTTTAATTCAATGCATGTACATGTATGAAAAGAAACACAGGTAACACAGACCAAGGCATAGAGTTACATTGTAGGACCTGGCTCTCGGCACAAACAATGGCAAAAGAGAGATTCCAATCTTCAAGCGCTGTACATGTATGTTAACACTACATGTATGGACTCGTGTGCCCATTTTCAGCATGAAAATACACGTGAGTATACATGTATAACATTGCACTACCTTGAAAGAGAGGCTTGTGAGGACAGTGATGTGCTAGCTTCATTGAGATACAAAGACAGTGTTCAGCAATTCTACACATTGTTTGCAAAACACTTCCTCTTCGACAGAAATATCAAGTCTCTTCTTTCCTTAAAGTCGGGCCATCAGGCTTTTGTAATACAATCGAGCACTGTAAATGTTACAAATTTTCCCAGCCCAGGACTAAAGAAAGTTTATAAAAGCTTTCCATTTGTAAATTAAGCCCTTACATTTCTAGGCTTGGCTTGTGATATAACTAGGAACTCTTTGCCTTGCAAAAATTTCTAACCCAAAAATGTCCTTACTCAGGTTGAGTTAAATGTTAGTTCAAAATGATTTTGTGAGAATTTTTTGTGCTGGGAATGTAAGTCTATTTAATTACAATGTGCACGTTACTTTGAGTTTCCAAACAATGCAAAATTTTGACCTGAAATCCCATGGCCTGCCCCATATGTATGAGTCAGCATGCTGCCCCTGGCCCCTTACACTGTACACAGAAAATGAAAGAAGTTCTTTGGCCCTGTTTGAAAAAACCAAGACCAGCCAGTCAAACTTTCCCTCCCTGCATTCCCACTTCAACTCACTGAAGGCTCAGGCATCCCAGAATCCCGCCGCAGCAACGTGTAGCTCATGTCGCTCCAGTACGGCACGACGTGGTACAGCATTTTGTTTGTCTCCGTGTCTCCACACAACCTTTGCTTCCTCGGCAAATGACACACTACCACTCCAGTGCTGCAGTGAGGGCCCTGTGAATGTCGAAGCACTCTGTAGCTGAACCCCCGTAATGAGAATGATCAATAGTCCACGTTGCGATAAACAGATTAGCTTTAATTGTGTGGTCGTTACAGCCACCTGTTTCAGTTCACTGGACTTGTTATCGGATTCCAGCCCCTACGCAGAAACTAAAGAAGTCCTTCTGTATTAAATAGACAGCACCATCAAAGGCTTTCTCAGTGACAGCTCTTTGTAAATACCCACATCCATTATGAATCCACATATACCATTATATATGAGTTTCACACAATGTCTGAAGGGCAAACTCGCGCACATGTACACAAAGGGATAGTAAGGAGCAGCATTCTCCTTCAAAATGGCCGTACTCCCCGCCCACAGATGATGCGGTCCTGAATGCCAACTGCAATACCCGAACGCAAATTTCAAACTTGTACCGATACCGGCAGACAGGACAATATCCATAAAAAAATGGCACAGTGGAACCCACCTGCCACAATGAAGTCTACTTCTAATAACTCGGTGCAGCAAAGTTATTGTTCCACTCTCATTCGGTGTCACCAAGCATTCTCAAAACCATTCTGAGGGAGTTCATTGTAAATGTGAAGACCTACAGGTAGGAACACACGTGCTTTGTTTTCCTCAACTTTTTTTGCTGTTTACCTCCTCACCGGACATCCTGTTGAACGTCACATTTCGTTGCTCAATTCAGAGTCTTGTCAAAACAATTTTCACGTCATCATCTGAAGAATAAATCCAGAAAAGCAGTGACGGAACCCCAGAGGCTTACCCAAAAGAGTTTTTTCTTTTGAGTGAAAGTGTTTTGTTATCAGGGCTCAACTGTACAAGCATAAACAACCTCTCCAATTCTCAAGAGCTAGTGGCACTTGGCGTCTGCATGTCGATCTTCCATTTCCGACAGGACCAAATCATTTCTGCTCCTCCCAAGAGGAGCTGACGGCAATTTCAGTGCAAGAACTCCATGCCAATTTGGGAGGGATGAAATTTGGGCTCAAAGTATTTCTTTGGCTAAGCATCAACCATCCCACAGGGGTTCTGGGAAGCCACCAACAGATGACGAGAACATTTTACTGAGCTCCACTTGAAGATTTTTTTCGACAACGTGAAAGAAGGTTGATGCTCAGTGTTTGATGTCTTTCACTTCAGAGGATCTCCTCGGGGGGGGGGAACAATAGAACATCTCACAGCAGCATCTACATGTACATGACGTCAGATTGGACGCGAATCAAAATCTCAGGAGAAAACCACTAGTAGATACTCACTACTAGTGGACTTCGAAAGTCAAAGGTAATCCGCCATTTTTAGGGGCTCCCTATCAGTTCATATGATGTTTTCTCACTGACCAGAACTAACACTTGGAACACTTTTTTTCACTGGCACTCTCTTCTCTGCAAGGAAGTGGTGCATGCGATGAAGGAAAACCACAAAAACTACAGACCGAACAAACTAGGAAGCCACACTGTTGATTTATCGGTGGTTGCCATGTAACCACATGCAGAAAACTCACAAATCCTCGGTCACGTAACATCATCGCTGATCCGTTCCAACACTGCACCGGACAAACACAAGCACAAACACAAGCCCAACAAAAACTTGACTTTGAAATCACGTTGTCTATATCAACACGACTGCAGGAACCACCAGGGATGGAAAATATCTCTGTGATGTATTTCAATGGACTCTGGAAAGCATCAAAACGTGAGTGCATATATAAATTTCGAGAAGCTGCAGTCTTGCATTTTCATGAAGACAAGCTCCTGTGGAAATCTGGCTGATTTCTGGATAATTACACTTCAGATCATACCTGATGAACTGTTGGGTTGCTTTTTTTTTTAAACAGGAAACAACATTCAAATGTTTAAAAACAAATCCCCGGACACAATTTGTCACTACTGGATGGAGGCAGAACGTTTTTCTTTTAAATATTTCATAAGCATCCAGGTGCTTCTCGTACAATTAATCACAATGAATCATGTTATCCAAAACAGTTTCTGAGAAAAAAAAAATGGTCCGTTAAACTCGTGCACAATGTCTAGTATGTGTGCACAATGCACTTCATCAGTGTGCTGCAGATCGGCGTGTGGTTTTGTCCACTGGCCCTCGGGGAATCCGGAAAGGCTTAGCGCTGGGGAATTGTTAAACATCACAAGTGCAATCTCGAGTGTTGTCCAACTGCGTACTGAGAAGCTCCATAAATCTCCCTTCAACAACTAGGGCTCTCCTACTGCGGTGGCCTGACAAGACTGCTGTGTCGTCTGCATCTGGCTCTCCCCACTCTTTTTTTTTTTATTAGGTTGTTGAAAATCCTGCTGGCACTGGAGCAGTGGCTCATGACTCTGGGACGGATGGCAGGGCCTCCGACAATCAAGCACCCTTTATAACGTCCTCTTGTGGCAAGTGAGCACGGTTCACTTGCTCTGAACCCGATAAACAAAAAGCGGCGATAATGCATTTGGTGTCCTTGCCACAGCATCGGTGACGCTGGAGAAGTGAGATGATGCACGCAAGAGTCTGAAATACCTGACAACGGCGGGGAGAGGAAAAAAAAAGAAAAGAAAAGAAACACACAGAAAAAAAAGATGCCAGCAGACCGCACAGGTGTGGGAAGCTGATTCAGTTGGATGGTCCAATCTGAAAGGTTAGGAGAATTGGGAAGCAGCTCCATTACAGATGACTTTTTTTTCTTTCTTCAAGGAGAGACGGAGATACGATCATGACACGGGAGACCGATTGCAAGGGTCAGGGAAGAGAGAGGAGGCAGATTTCTTGCTCTATTATCTCAGTATCGCTATGTCCCAAGGCTGTAAAAACAAGACGGGAGCTGGAGGAGGCAGAGGAGGAACTGAGCGAGGAAAGTTCCAAGACTCTATTCCCCTCAAGTTGCCAGGGTTGTACCCGATGGGGCCAAAGCTAATTTAGCCATCTCCACTTTCCTCTATTTGTCCTTAAAATGAGAACCTCTTCTTTCAGTCCCCCAGACATTAACCAAGTCCAACCCCGTAGCCCACGAGTCACCTACTGCCAGAACTCTCGCTTCAATATGCCTCGTCAAAATCCTGCAGCCATTCACCAGTGTTTATTACCCTCCTAGTCGGACAGTAAACAAGTCACAGAGAGGCCCCTTTAGCTACGAAAAAAAGAAAGGCCATGATGATCTTTTTCCGCATCTAGTTTCCGGCCCATGTCTGGACGAGGGAACGTGTTTGCACTCAGGCTGAGGTGGGTAAAAGCCTGCCAATCAAGTTGAGCGGAAGTCCTGGTATAATGAACAGCCAATTAATACCTGGTCCACTTAAGTCATCGCTGGGTGCTGGCGGTAACCTCATCAACGTGTATAATTGCGGTTTGCCACCAGATCTCTCACGGTGAACGAGGAACAAGGATGCCACAAGGGCTGACACAGCGGATGGCTAGTCAGTGTGAAACTGTTGTCGTAACATCTTGATTGATCCAAGCCCGACTAAGATCCGACGATTGGTAACAGCGTCATCCAACACCATCCACATCCCCTGCCCCCCCAATAACCGGCCAATTATCTGGCCTCATTAACGGGCTGATCCGTGTATCAGTCTGCAGGTGCCGATCTACACATAAATATTTATGGCTGCGACCAAGAGCTACATGTACGGTACATGTACCTGACCTGCCCCAGTAACTCTGCGTCAGGTCTGATGTTCTACAAAGCTGCATGTAGTGCATGGACCGTAAATGCTTACCGTACATGTACCAGTACATCCCACAATGAGAAAAGAAAGTCCAAAAAAACGCTTCAAATGATCTCATCAATTATCAGTGACAGTGCAACTACTCTAGCAACTTGAGAAATTTGCCCATTTCCAAACAGTTACTGGAGTTACTGACAATTTTTCCAGCAAGTTTTATGTGCTCTGCATTGCAACCTCTACTTTTAGTTCATGCATTATGGAAACAGCTCAGTGTTTTAGATGTCAGCTTTAAGATCCATGACACTGAGACAGTATTATGTGGTTTTGTGATTTTGTCTTAATTTTGCCTTACTATTACCACTTACTGTACATACTTCCTTAAACACACAATTTACAAATATGGGCAATTCCATGGTTACTCATGTTACGTTTTTATGAACTTTTGAATTTCTTTGGGCTGTAATTATTTTCCTGTAAATGTTCAGTTATTGTTAACTCCATAGTATCTAGGGCATACCTAGGCCTACCTAATAAACAAAGATAATATAAAAAGCATTAAGCATGATAAATAAGGTACAAAAAATCGGTTACTCACTTTTCATTTTTGGACAAACATAAAAAGCCAACAAGCTTTAATCAAAAAGTCTCCTAATACCAACAAGCTTTTAAAAGTTCTTTTGACTGAATTAAGAACCTTGCCATGGGACCCAAATAATGAAAGTAATACGACTCTTTTGGAGTGTTTGGTTTTCTAGAAATTCACCAGACATCTGGTTACTCACGTTACGGTTACTCACGTTACAAAGTGCAAAACACATAGCAGGCATAAACTAACAAATTAACCGTACAAATTTTGACCTACTTATGTAGAGGTATCATTAACAAAATATCTGTTTATTAAATTTTTGTACAAGCAAAATAACTTTCAAGCATGTTCTTATCCCCAGAACCGCTACGTTCGTGGGAGAGGGGTGGACATTGGACCCCACAGTTCTGGGGGTAGCATTATAGATCTCAACCATCTTAAAGGCTTAGAGGGATAAGAGATCAACAGTTTGCATAGGTCATTTATCCATACGGAAAGTAAATGTAGATCTTAATGTAGTCAAAGGTTCTGGGCATGATGGAACTAAAACTTCACAGAAAACTTGAAGTGGCCTCGGTTGTTCAGAACTGCAGGTGCATTAAGTTTTAATACCAGCTCTCCTCGATGATAGAAGATCTTATCTCTAGGTGATGGCCACTTGCAGTTGCAGTTTCCGGCTGGATGCATCACCGATACCTGGTATTACCACGGTCAACCACTTCTCCTGGATATAGCACCCCATGTACATGTCGCACTCTCTAAAACAGTAATTAAAAGACAAAGGCCAGTCCTTGATTTATTTCTGCCTGGCCTTTAACACACGGAACAACCGATACTGAACATCTTCATAAAGCCCAAGTATAACTTGCCCACCCCAGTGTATATTGTATGTTGTACAAATATGTACAATGTATGTACAAATATAGGCCTACATGCAAATAATCTGATGTACCCAGTACATGTGTAAATTTACTTAAAAAAAACGATACAAGACAGAAATCTTTCTGCATGTACTTGGTCAGTAATAAATGGTTTATGAAAGCAATTTCACTGAAACATATACACATACATGTACATGTATGTAGGATTTATAAACATGATAAAGAAGGAAGATAAGTACTCACGACATCTGCCAAAATTGGTAACACAAGTCTCCGAAGATGGTCAACAGCATGTGCTTTTCTTCCATGTGCTCATTTCAGACAGTGTGCAGTTCATCATGGGTAATGCCCTCATTGCTTAAAAATGGGACACTTGCGTATTATTTGCTTATAAAGCATATCCGTGTGCTAAAGTCTCCTCACACAATTTTCTTTCATACTTGCTAATCCCGGTTACTCACGTTACACAGTTACGATACAACTTCCATCACCTCACCACATTGAACAGTGAAAAGTCACATCATAAAGAACCCAGTTTTTACACTGGGGATCACCAAGAGAATGATAATTGAATTGACAACTGTTGAAACTAAGAAACATATTCACGAGGGGAAAAAGTCATATTTTGGTTACTCACGTTACACTACCTAGAAGTGCTTTGAACATTTAGTCATGACGTCCTCATGAAACAAGTCAAGCCACTTCTTTTTTAAAATCTGAATTCTTGTGTCATATGTGTTACAAAAAATGAATAAATGATTAGATCATCCTGTAAAAAAACAAACAAACAAACAAAAAACAAACAAACAAACAAACAAACGAAGAGTTTCCCGCTTTGGAAAACTTTCAGTTCAAAATTACCGTTCCACTTCAAATGACCATTTGTCAAAAAATTCTGCGACAATTCAAGTATTTTAAGTTATTCCACAAAGTTTGAACTATGTGAATCAATATTTTACAGATAATCGCTTTCAAATATGGATTTGAAATTTTAGGGCCATGTCCACTCTTTCATGGAATTTCCCATATGGAATTCTTCATCATTTTGAGCAATATGAACCTGACCTATCCACCTCAAGCAGAAGCACCCCTCATCAGTTGAACAAAGCCAGGTTGGTTGGGAGTGTTCATTTTGCTAGCAGTGACACAACTGCAATGTGTGCACTGCATTTCATATATACAGTGCTGTCGTTCATGAACCAGTGAAGTGCAGTTCCTACCAAAAGAGCTTCCATTGCTAGGAAACTTGCACCCTCTCTCAGCCCGGCTTGGGGCTCATTGACAATGAGTAAAGGCTCCTGTTTTCAACTAATTGGATCTGCCCTTACCACCATTAACTTGGCCCAGATCCTTGCCAGGACCTGCATTCAGAGTGCAGTAACATTACTTCCAAGATCAAATAAAAACATTCATGTGGCACATACGTGCACGTGTACATGCACTATGAGTACATGTCACACAAGCCGAGGTGTCAATGTCGACACATTCACATGTAAGCCAAACGAAGTGCAGTGCCCTTTCGTCGGTACCGTACTGTTGCATATGTGCAAATTAACTGCCCATGCAGGTATGCCCTCAGATAAACATCAATCCAAGAAGAATAATTCTTTGCTCTGAATTAACTCACTGATAGATGTGTCTTTTTTCAGGGCTGGTAGGGTTTCTCTGGCCAGGTGAATTTATG